GGGAGGTTGACCGGCAGGCCCCAATCTGGCAATTGGAGCCTGTGGGCTGGGGGAAGCTCCTGCATTGAGCATTTGCCCCCTGGTGGTCAGTGTGCATCACAGCAACAGGTCATTCTGCCATTCGGTCGATTTGTATATTAGGTTTTTATTATATAGGATACTAAACTTTCCAAGGCATTTACTGTGATTTAATTATCAATAAAGAATTTAGTGCCTACTACAAGGTATACTTCCTAGCCTGTTTTGATCACACTTAATTACAATGAAAATATAGGTGACATTCTATGGTATACTTTGCCTGGCATGTACAATATGGGTTATGATCTCTACAATAATGTTTGCATGTCATTTATAATCTAAAAATACTGGCATAATGTAGCAAAGAATACAAAGACTTTGAATATGTATGTGAATTGAAATCCCAGCACTATAACATATATGTAACCTTGGAGAAAATTATTTAATCTTTCTCTAAGATGACTTAAGAGAGAAATACCTAATAAAGTTACAGTAAGAATAAAACAGAATACTGCTTTCAAATGGCAGATCTACCCTTCCTGATGAAGATAACTATATTTAAAGACATTTGCTTTAAAATGTTTGAGAGATAACAAGTAAAACGTGAAAACTAACTCAACAGGATGAAAAAATAGCATGGAAATCCTAAGAGTGAGTTTCATATTTAAGGCTGCTTTACTCTTGGGAGCAGTGGACCTAAGAAACAGGTGGACCTAAAACAGATAAGCTCCCAATGGAAAAGCAACTCAGCTTTGAATCATCTCAACCTCTGAAACTGTATTGAAATGGTAATAGACTGCTAGTGGCCCAAACAATGAACAGAAGCAAATGTAAACCCTATCTGGAGAAAGATATCATCTAAGAGGGAAAACAGAGGAACCCACACTCATACTCACTGCTAGAAAACACAGACAAAAAAATTATAGCAAATTTTGAACTAATTAATATAAAAAACATTGTGCTTCAAATGCAGTATACATTATTTTATAGCACACATGGAATATTTACAAAAGTGACACATATTACAAAAACAACTGTCAATCAATTTCAAAGAATTGAAATTATATGGGGTCGGTTCTCTGACCAAAGTGGAATTAAACTAGAAATCAGTAACAAAAAAAGAAGAATAAGAAAATTCCACATTTAAGAATGAAACACTATATTTCTGAATAAACTTGGCTAGAAGATGAAATCACAATGAAAATTAGAAAATATCTTGATCAAATAAGTAATAAAAACACAATACAAAAAGATTTGTGATCGCTCCTAAAATTATTCATGTATATACATAAATATTAGTATGACACTATTCAACAAGACCTTCCCATAGAATAAATCAAGAATTAGGAACCACTTCTTCCAGTTATTTTTGTGAGGCATACATGACCTAGACATCAAACTTGAAAACGAATATGTACGAAAGAAAATTCATTAATGTAGATGGAAAAATCCCAAACAAAATATTAGCAAAACAAATCCACAAATACCTAAAAGTGATAATACATTATGATAAAATTAAGTGTATCCCAGCAGACAGTAACATGAAGCTCCATGGGGAAATAAAGATCTCAATAAAGGTAAATACAGAAGCAATTATAAATGTTAGCATTATTTTAACAATGGTTTGTAACTGCATTTTTTGGTTTCTACATGACTTAAGGACTAATACATTTAAAGAAACAAGATAATTTATCTCATTTTCTATACTATCTTTTAGTGATATAATGCTTTTAACTTTGTGCCACTATCCTTTTTTTAAAAATTTAAAAAAACCCACTTATCATTAAAAATAGATAAACAAAACCTTAGACATAGCCTACTCAAAATTATTTTTCAGATTTCAAAATAGAGGTCCAGAATGCAGAAGCAACACCTCAAAGTAATATGTACTTTAATGGTAAAAAAATAGTCCAGCCTTTTTTTTAACTTTCTAAGATCATGACTTTAAGATTATAGAAATCTCCTATAGAGTAAGATATTATAAAGTAGTCTGACAATATAGTGTGATTCTTCTCCTGATGGCTTTGATAATTCTGCAAACATATATACATATAAATATCACAACAATCTTTCACCAAGCCATTTTACAAAGCTTACAAACAGTTAAAACACATAGTCTCAAAAAACTTATTGGCAAAAAATAAGAGAGTATTAATTTTTATCCAAGCACAAATTTTTTTTCTCTATTTGGGCAGGCAAAGTAACAAAGTATGCATAAAAATATGAAATGACTTGAAAAATACCTGAAGTAGAAGCAGCCATCTTCCTTGTCATTACCTTTTATTTTATTACAACTAAATGTTTCTGCCTAGAAAGAGAAGAGAGAAGAGGACAGGGGAGAGAGAAATCACAAACATTTAACATAGTATATTTAGGATGAAAAGTTACTAGTATATCACCTTTACTAAATGTGAATGCAAATCACATCTGAATTTATAAATACATAGGCACATACCTATATGTATATATCTTTACAATGTATATAAGACACAATATGAGATTAGCCACAATGGAAAGACATTATTAAAGGGCACATAGATCTCTTTGTTGGTGATAGAGTTTAAGGTAATAGCTGCTTGATGGGACTGATGGTATCAATTAAGGAAGTTAATTTCCTAAACAGATAATTAAAATGAATCATAAACCATGAAAGGCATTGTTAAATTGGGACCTGCCGGAAGCCGGTCCATCCTTGCTGCTTGACACGTCTCTGCAGGGAAGAAACATCTGCACAGCATATGTGTCCAGGGACCTGGTGTATATGGCATACTGTTCTTAATATGTTTGCTCCCCTTCTTATCGTTTTGTGTTTTAACCAAGGTCACCTCTCCGAGAAAGGTTGTTTCCCCAGGTGGGAATTTTTCCCTCGAGTAAGGGATTAACAGGACTAAGGGAGGGAATAAAACCCCTTAACTAAGTGCCAGGCGGGTAATTAATCACTTTAACTACGAACAATCACTTAGGATAATCTCTTTCAGTTACTTCCTTGTAGTTTAACAGAACAATAGAGTAGTGACTTTTGAATGGAGATAACAAACACCCTAACCTTTGGAATAGAATGGATAGGATTAAAATCAACTGGTATAAATACAGATGTAACAGGACATTAAAGACTGAACCTGGCTGGAGAACCTGGCTATGCTGATCAACTGAACGCTGCCTCGTGTCCTTCCTTCTTCGCCGACTCTGTCCACACCTTTGGGAATCCCTGGACCTGCTGAGGCTGGAACCCAACAGGGACCTTCTGATATAGTATAAGGTATGGTAGCCAACAGCCACATCTGGTTACTGAGCACTTGAAATATGGTGGTGCAAATTGAGATGTGGTGTAAGCATAAAATACAAACCAAATTCAAAGACTTGGTAAGATAATTTTCGATATAGTAGGTTAAAACTACATTAACCTTAATCTTACTATTTCTTTTTACACTTTAATGTTGTTACTAGGAATAGGAAATATCATGTGACATTTTCAGTGGACTATGTTGCTTTAAATCCTCAAACTATTCTTACCACTCTATCCCCCTTCTCTAACAAGTAAGTTTATCAATCATATTTCTCTATTTCATTTTCTATACTATCTTAGTGATATTATGCTTTTTACTTTGTGCCTCTGTCCTATAGACAAGATAATTTTATTGTGTAAAGTATCTGAAAGTTTTAGAACTATCACAATATAGGCTGTCCTTTTTCAGTAGCATCAACACAGTTTTGAAATATTCTGATATATTTTTAAATCCCAAGTGATGGAGTGGGTTAATTTCTAGCTCTCCAGTATATACATATTGCATTTTCACTTAAATTACATTTAATTTTAAGATAAATTTAAGAACTATTTATAACTTCTAAAATGCTTTCCATGACTCACATTTGCTGGTGGTCGGTTCCCATTGTTAGAGTGCTTCCACATTTTCATGGTAATACGTGCTGGATTAATATTTTTAATGATGCTATCATCTTCAGAAATAACAGTAATCATAAAATCTGTCATGAGGAACATTAAAAAATTTGTTTTCTTTCTAGTTCAACTAATGAATTTGGCTAATTGCATAGCAAGTCCTCAAGTAACATTGTTTGGTTTAAACGTTGTTTATTATAATGATGTCACAGGAACTTAACTCTGGTTTATATAAATTAGGCTATAGTAAAATTGGTTTTGTTATATGTCATTTCACTTAAAGTCACAGAACCTATCAACGATGTTAAGTGAAGACTTACTGTACAGACATACCTCAAGATATTGTAAGTTTGGTTCTAGACCACTATAATGAAGCAAGTTACCATACATTTTTTTTGCTTTCCCAATGAATAGAAAAGTTATGTTTGCACTATACTGTAGTTTAAATATGCAACAGCATTATGTCTAAAAAAACAACGTACATACTTTTAATTAGCCTGTTGGAAAAACGGTGCCTACAGACTTGCTCAACACAGGGTTGCCAAAACCTTCAATTTGTAAAAAAGCAGTATCTCAGAGACTCAATTAAACAAGGTATGCCTGCATGTCAAAGCATAGAAATTGTTAATAAAATTCTGATGAAGAAAATAACACTATTCTTTAATCAGCATTCTCCAATAATCCTATCTAAGAAAGAGGGAATATGGTAATTGACCCTTACACCATCGCAAAGATGGAGGTGCCCACAGCCAATAAGGAGGGAATATGCTAACTGACTTCCCCACCCACAAAGATGGCAGTACCCACAGCCAATAAAGAGGGAATATGCTAATTGCCATGCCCTCAAAGATGATGGTGCCCACAGCCAATGAGGGAATATGATAATTGACTGCCACGCCCTCAAAGATGGCTGGCAGGGGAGGGCAGTTGTGGGCAATCAGGCCAGCAGAGAGGGCAGTTAGGGACAAGCAGGCCAGCAGGGGAAGGTAGTTAGGGGCTACTGGGCCAGCAGGGGAGGGCAGTTGGGTGCAACTGGGCCAGGAGGGGAGGTCAGTTGGGAGCAATCGGGCCGGCAGGGGAGCAGTCACCGCCCAGTGCACGGATTTCATGCACCGGGCCTCTAGTTTGTCTATAAAACTTCTTAATCATGACAGACAACTCTGGTGCTAAGTCTTTCCCAGAAATCTACACATACATCTTTGCTAATAATAGTCCCTTGTCTTATTTTCATAGTCTGCCATGCTGTAAGTTCTATCATGCAAGACCAAAAAGGTTAAACTGTGGATATTCAGCAACCTAGAAATTTGGGCAGCTGGTCATAAAATCATATGCTTTGTGTGTTCCAAGAATACAATGTTTACTTTCTTTTATGATTTTTAATAGCATACATCAGCTAAATTATTACACATAATATTCCCCTTATGTTTATCATCTGTACCAGCCATTTGACATCTGTTCCTTTTTTAATCACAGAAAATAGGTCTTATCTCCCCAAACATTTAAAACAGTTGAGTATAAAGACAATGTATGTATGTAACGTAAGTAGTTACAAGAAGCAGACCAAAAAATCTACATTAAAAAATTAACAATTTTTAATGATTATATTTATGTACAGGAACTCATCCCTTCAAGAAAACAAGTCTTCAAGAAAATTACCTGTATGAAGCAAATACTATTTCCTATTGATTTGGTACCTGCTAGATTACAATGAAATTATTTGCTTACTTGACTGTCTCCTACATTAGACTAAACTCATTGAAAACTGTCATATTCATTATTGGAACTAAGAGCCAAGTATAGTGCCTAGACATAGGAGGTATTTAGTAATGTTTGTTGTTCTGAAGTATCTTTAATCATAAATTCTGATGTGATGTATTTCCTTCCAAATTAAGTTAAACAATCTGGTTTTATTTTAAGTTAGTGCTGCAATAAATACATTTAGTAGAGCCCTGACAGTTCTTGCCATTTAGCTGTTTATATTTCTTTTGCAAACTGAATTACCTGAGGCTATCAGTTTATGTATGAACTTTTAGTTTGTTATGTACCATTAAAAGTATGCAGGATACAGAGGTGACAAAAGACATATAGCTAAGTCAAATGTACTTTCTGTGTCATTTAAAAGGCTATTACATACTTGCTTTCTTTATCATGCTAAGTACCTAGAATAAATACAGGCAGTCCTCGGGTTACGTCAGACTCGATGTACATTGTTTCGTGGTTACATCGCCATCTCCCATTTATTTTTTATATAAAAAAAAGTTCCGTCATTTCGACGTATGGACATACGTGTTTTATGTCTTTTTATTATTTATTTACTATAAGTTCAGGAATTGTTATCTTTTAAATTTTTTTTTACTGTTTCACTTCATTACTGCTGTTTATGTGCTCCATGTGAGTAACGTAGGTGCTTATATAGGTGGGTTCCTACTTATGGTGAAAATTGCGGGTCTCTGACATAACCCGAGGACCTACTGTACTTTATTCCACTAATGTGAAAGGCAAATTATCAGTACAAATTTATTTTAAAACTGTGAATTACTCACCAGTGAAAGTACCCCCTGCTAAAAATAAAGTATCTTTGTCATATTTAACATTGAGACGAATGGGTTTTTCAGGGTCTGGAAGAATCATTAACTTAATTATAGGTCCTTCTATGGTATTCCTGTTATGGATGGCTTTCACCTGCATAGTATGTTTTCCTCTAAAAAGGAAAAAATGGGGGAAAGGATTCAAATTACATTAGTTATAATCTAAAAATTCTGAGAATTTATACATAGTTTAACTCATTTAGGAAACTACTCTTGCTCATTCTATCACCTAACACTAAATAGAAGGCTAGTTTATTACTTTTCTTTTTAATTCCTCGCCAGAGGATATTTTTTCTATTGATTTTAGAGTTTGGAAGAGAGTTGAGGGAAGGGGGGAAGAAGAGAGGAGAGAGAAATATCGATGTGAGAGAGACACATTGATTGGCTGCCTCCCCCAGGTGCCCCAACAGAGGCCAGGGATCAAACCTGCAACTTAGGTATATGCCATTGACAAGGAATTGAACCTGTGACCCTGCAGTGGTTGAGCTGACACTCTAACCATTGAGCTACACCGGCCAGGACAGTTTATTACTCTTAACTTCAGCAAATAATAAGAAAAAACAGTCTGTATAATACTAATAACCATTAAACTCTCAGTTCTTACCTAGGAGCATAAACACTGAACAATCCCAAATTAGCCCTGCCCCTTTCATCTGTTTTATACTGTTGGTTTGAAGGCGTGAGCTAAAAATAAAACAAAATAAAATAATTAGAAAATTCTAGAGATGAAATTCAATTTCTCTATTACTAATTTAAAAGTTATAGTTGCATACCCTTCTAAAACCTACAACTTTCTAATTTCACAAATACTGTATATTACAAAACTGGGATTCTGGGGAATGGCATGGGAGAAATAAACATAAACACACACACACACACACACACACACACACACAATTCAAGGCATCATAATACTATGTCACTGTTACTTCATCTTTTATCTTTTTTTTCCCTTACCCAAGGATATCCATTTTTCATTGATTTCAGAGGGAGGAAAGAAGGG